GGTTGCTTCTTGTTTGTTCCATAACCAGAGATCGAACTCACAACTTTGGCATATGGTATATGATGCTCTAGCCAACTGAGCTACCTAGCCAGGACCTATGCTCTTCAATCTTAAATCTAAGTACAACTGCTTGATTATGTCTCCTATTTGAAGAGAAGTTAGTAACATGCCCAAGGTCAGGGGCAGATCTGGGTCTGAGTCCAATCTCTGGACCTTCGATCAGTATTCTTTTCAGACATCACTGCACTGACTCTCTCCACTTATTTATTTCCCAGCTAGCATAAACCTCTAGGACAACCTTCTAATAGTTACGTCATATGTACTTCTAATCCTGTTTTACAAAACTATGGGATGAAAATCCATGCTTAGAAACAAACAGGCAAATAAATGAGAAAATGTCTATTGTTTATACCCAATGATGCATCATAGCACTACTCCAGGTGAGTGTTCCTTAATACTTTATATTATGACCCCATTTACAAAACTAAACAAACTATTTTGGGGAACTATCTATTGAACAAGGGCCCATCTACCCATTCTCCCCAGCGAGGATCTAACAGCATCACAGACTCTCAGGCTTGGCAACCCATTTACCCAGCAATTATCCCAACAACACGAGAAAACGGAGGTGGCCAGGCACCTGCTTCTGAATGAGCTCCTGTCCTTTCTCCGGATGCATATGCACGAGGTTCAGCTGCGGAGACACTGACCGCCGGAAAGGATAAATATCCCGGACATAGGTCTGTGATGGGATCACACAAAGACAAAAGAGATGATTACACTTTTGACCTCATTTCTCTTAAGGTCAGACAAACAAAAGTTATGTGTTTTCTAATGGTTTTGATTCTTACTAGGGTACATTCCCCAATTTGACAAAATAACAAGGAAGGTACAAGCCCTCCTCAGGAAAGCGTCGCGTCGCCCAGGCTGAGTACTCTTTCCGAATACCCCGTTGCTGTCAGAAGCCAAGGAGCCAAAGGCCGCTGACTAAATGACATTTTGGAAGGAAGTCGCTATAAAGTGATGTCAGGGGTCTTCCGGAGGTCCCCCTTTGCTCATTAGATCAGGTCACCCCGATCACGCTGACCATCATAGAAGGGGGAATCAGAAAAACATTAAAATTCCATTTAGAAACATGTGTTATTATACGGGCAGCTTAACTTTTCATCTAGATTTAATAATAATTAATCACTTTATGCTTTACTTGGCTTATCTCCTTTGATGATCACAACAACCCTACAGTAGATACTATTATCACCACCTTCAGTCTGCAGACAAGGAAACTGAAGGTTCCAAAAGTAAAGTGGCTTGTCCACAGCTACCTAGACAGTAAGTTGTGTGACCTAAGTGGCCATACTCCTAACCTCTAAACAATGATGCCTCCCTGAGGGCTTGCTGTCCTCAAAAAAGGCATGACGAGCTCGGACACAACCCAACATGAATGTCATTGCTGCACAGTCTCACCTTATTGTAGTGGATAAGGTTCCATCGTTTATCCATGAGAAAATAATGTGTTGACTGGGATTCTGGGATGTTAAAAAATTCCAAACACTCCTAGAATAATAACAATACATTTAAATAAAGGTTTATTGAGAACATACTATGTGCTGCCAGGTGTAAGCTACAAAATACAAATACTATAAAAATAAGGTAACTTTTAATAAGGATTTTATATATATGTGCATATATATATATATATATAT